GTAACCAAGGGGAGTACAACTCTCACCTCATGTCCATGGTAATGGCATGGACCTTTGTCAGTGTTGGAATAAATTCGATAGTTTTTATTTTGCAGGAGATTCGCTCGACTGCTGGTACTGAGAATTTTCATACGTGATTGTCGCTAAACCTCCAATTAGCTTGACAAGGTTTCAAGTTTACTAAATGAGCAAGTGATAGAGAACCATGCTGAAAACACCTATATGAGATAAAGATAACCACGAGGAAACATTAATCACTGGTACTTTAAGTCAATTTATAGACCAAGCTTATTATTAGTTTCGCCAATTCTATCAATCATATTATGCGATTGTCAAGTCACGACAATCCATTATGACGATATCCATAAGCCTGTAGCGTGGCGTCGAGTTGGGACTGACTATGAACACTGCTACCAAGAAACACGTGCCAAATAAATCAGAAGGCGAAGGTTGAACGTAACCAAATAAATCCATAAAATCCCCGAGAAGCCTAATATCAGAAGGCAGTTAATGGACCAAGTCGAGATATATTTGCTGGCGATCTCGTGGCATCGAAAGGATACCGAGATCGTGCAAGGGTACAAGCTTGGTTACAGAACGTAACCAAATTCGCGCGAAGTCACAAAGTGTGTGAATAATGGATGCTTCTTAGCACAGTTAAACAAAAGCACATTAAAACAGACACTGGTACAGTTGATTATAATAATAATTGTTTTTATTAAACCAGTCGTGTTCTCGTGATAAATGTGAGTCACTACAAGCCATTGTGTATAACTAGTTATAATGTTGATTGAGGAAACAGGTATTGTTTTACGTGATTCGAAAATAATAGAAGTTTGTAGAATTAACAGATCCGAGCTGCCATATTATAGTACAAATAGCGACCCAGAAACATCAGTTTACTTAGTGTCAACTTTAATAATAGGCTCCAGATATTTTATTCCCAAAGCTCGCCTGACTAACAACCATGTGACAGTTTAGTCATTATACCAGTGCAGTACGATAGTATCTTAATGAGGTGACTTTATGTTAATTATATTAAACGTATTTTGAGCAACTAATGTAACAGAACTATTCACCCAAATACGCATAGCAATAAACACCAACATGAGATTAGTGGTGTTTGTGTGACCCAGAAAATTTCTTGAAAAGTCCAAATGGACCCTGAAAACGCTAGAAAACATTTTATCCTATTAGCATTGAATAGATGTTTACAAAATACATCTAGAAATTGAAGTCAAGGGTTACATTTCGGACTGCATAACTATCCTGCCACTATATTTAGAAGGGTTCCAGAAGCCCAAGGCTATCAGAAAAGCTGTAAATACCCCCGAATTTCTGTACATAAACGAGCTTTGGAGTAAAGCATCCTTTCCATATTCCGCACCTTTTCTCTCGCGTTCACGATGTCGTGTGCATTCAGCCTGAGGGTTACTAGAGGGGGTTAGAAATTCGAATCAAGTGTTCAGTCATAAGAATTATAAAGTTCAAAATGTTAAAGGTGGTTCAGATACGTGCTAAATTCAAATGGTATAGAGATGATATAATACAGTGCATGTATAAGCTAGGTCAACGTGTACATTTATGGGAAATTTAACAACTAGAAAATCATGGCAGAAAAACTTAAAATTTGGGACATAACTCAAGGAAATAGTTCGTTCTTGATTAGTTCGACGGAACCTGTCACCTAATCTTCACGTTTTATTCTCCCTCATTAAGAGTATGGAAACATAGTGTCCCCTCCCTCACTCCAAAAATATAAGGACACTTTGGTAAGTGTTTAACGGCAAGCCACGAAATCAGTTTGGGGACTCAGATTCTAGTCTTATGAAGAGCGCCTCCAGTCATTGAACTGTTACCCACTAGAGTACAAGCGTCTTAGAAGTGACCTAATGACTTACAGTATCCTAAACACTTCTGAACATCCTTTTAAGCACTTACTTAAGCTTAGTTTCAACACAAACCTTAGGGGTAACACACAGAAACTGGAGACACAACACAGCAGAACGGACTGTAGGCACACTTTCTACTCCTTAAAAGTAGTCGAATTCTGGAATTCGCTGCCGGTTGAACTAGCTCAAGAGACTTCCCCGTCCTTCGAGAAAATCTGACATATCCTTAAGGACAGTATCTCACTATAATTTACCAACTTTTTCCTTTTTAACGTAAAATATGCCCATCTGGAGGCGTCAGTGATTCACTGCTATTAGATACGGAAGCCTGTTAAGCGAAAGCTTCTTCTATCCCATTCAGAACCATTTGAATCTTTGGAAAGGTTTTATGTCATTTATACAATTACTATTAGTGGATGTCTACTTCAATCATGTACAAGGTGATGGCTCCCATCATACTCCTCAGACTGTCTGAGACTCGTGAACTACTTACTCATGAGGATCAAGATTTCAAAGTATAAAAAGCATCTAAAACAAAACCGATGTCCACTAGTTCAAACGTGAGAACTTCTATAGGAAAATTACTACGAAATAATTTAATTGCAAACAGTAAGATCACATCGATTCTAAATGACATTATTTGATTTCTGACAATGATCCTTTGAAAAACATGTATTGTTATTCACAGACAGCTTATTTGTACATAAGTGTTGTGAAGAAACCATTTTGGGTTTCGTCAGAGATGAAGTTATACACAAGTTTCAATAGTGTTCCCATAATATTCACCACATTTAAATAGGTTCTGTAAAATCTAGAATGTTGAGTTAACTTTAAAGGGAAGGGAAAAAAATGAAAAGAAACGTGAAATATGTGAAAAATTTGATAAGCATGTTTGTGAAAACAGAATAAGAATAAACGGCAATATATGTGCTAAAAAATGAATAAAAATAAATAGACAAATAAGAAAGTAAATCGTTAATGCAGTAAGATTTGACAGTGGAATAAATTTCTGCAGTAGTTTAGAATGATGCTATGAAAGTCATAATTAATTGTAGAGAATAATCGTCAATTACCAATTTGTATGGGTCACATACGCATGGAAGATAAGATGAATCAGGAAAGTTAATTTATTGAAGTGTAATGCAAGATATTATTCCTTAATCACAAAGAAAACTACTTATTACAAACGTCATAAGTATAAACACATGAAGACTATATCCATGAAAACCAAGGCTCATTCCTTAACAATATTTTCTTTGGTTCTCGAGAATTACTTTGAATGAACACCATACAACATTAGCAAATATCGTTTGTATGGGTAGTGAGAGGAACTGGAAGCAGGTTGCTCACTATACCTCCTCAACATTGACATCGATAACATTCTACAAACTACTCTGATGGAAATAGGTAGTGGTCCTGGATAAACTTTTCCATCTTCAGCAAACGAATGGTATTGTCTTACTGCGTGATGATGATCAACCTGTGCAATCAACACTTAGTCAGTCAGGAATAAATATCCGTAGGTATAGAATGCACTTTTCAAGTACGAGGTACTTTTCCAGAACTGGCGGGAACCTATGCCTACAACCACTATTTGTGTTGGGTCGCCAGTAGTCAGAAAATTTGTGTATCTGGTTATTTGTGGGAGTGCTGGTGCAGTGTAAGAGAACTCAAGTGAAGAAAACCAATTTATCATTCAATGCAAAATCACATAGTGGCTTGATAAAATATGGAAACTAAACATTAAATACATTTCTTGCACATCTTTGCGTTGTCCTTTATATTCTCCAATATTCTGTTCTTTGTATTTCAATCTTCGGCTGGCAGGTATTCTACTTTCAGTCGCTGAAACATACTACTTAAATATGTCATCATAAGTAGCATAGGTCACAGTGGTAGTGGTACCCGTTCAGAAAAAGTTCGAAATGGTTGGTGCTAATCAGAGCCATCTTTGGTGTCGTCTCGATGTTAGCCTGACTGTAAAAGATAGGGTTCATAATATGTCGGTAAGACCGGTTCTGCTCTATACTTGAGAAACCGGTGCTTTCCGAGTTAGGGATGTTCAGCGGCTTTCTGTGTCTGATCATCATTGTCCCCAAAAGATTCCTGACACCTAATGGCAACACTATGTCCGCCACGATTACTTGGTTAGGGTGAGATAGTATTTGAGGCGTTACTAGACATAGGTCGCAGTAGAAGCCAGAAAGCGTCATTTCACAAATTTCTCCATAGAAATGAAGCTTCTTTAGATGGAAGGACTTTTTGTTTGCACTTTTTCATATACTACTCTTGTTCACTTATTTTTATTCAGTTACTGTTTTAGATCGTATCCACCCCTCCTTCCTCAGTATCCTAACAGTTTTATTTTCCTATTATGAAGCGGAGACTTATTTTACTGCCTATATGTAGCAATACTTGTTTCAATAAATAATCAATTATTTACGCATATGAATAGGGATAAGAGATAAACACTAAAACCGAAAGATTGTGTTTCACTAATGAATATAGATTTACTTATTGAAGGGTCATTCGAAACTGGAATTTCTCTTTATTCCTCTTTATTATTATGAATGCCAGCTCCGAAAAAATTAAGGTGTTTTAGAACACTACGTGATTGACTAAAGTCCCAATAACAGGATGAGCATAAGTAGAGAGCTTGACAACAAATGATCTCGAAAATACTCACCGTCGAAAGTCTAATTACGTGACTATTATCAAACGATAAGTATGAGCTGTGTCAACTTAGAAAATAGAACCACAAATAACTAGCAAACAACAAAGGTGTAGTATTATATTTTCTTAGTGAATCTCAAGAATTTTCATTTTAAAGTAGGCAGATTGGACCAAGTCACTACAAATTGCCATAATTTGTCTCAATAAGTGAGTATTTATATATTTTTATTAGTTTTAGTGATTAACTTGATAACATAATATTAAGTTTGATAAAACTAAGAGTGAAACAGTAACATAAGATAATGAAGTGTGAGTTTTATCTGATTTTGTTAATATGAAAGACATTAATTTCCAGTCATGCTCCCTCTAAACTAATTTAGATTACAAATAATTTTAAGATTTGAATTTTTTAATCAAACCTTGATGTAGGATAATATAAAACTGAAACTTTAACATAAAAACATTTTACTTTTACAAGTCAACGTTAATTGAAAGACAAAATTATAGAAAAAACTGTTTCAAAAGAGTCGTTAAAATTACTTTGAATTACCACAATATTAAGCGAAATTACTATTTACTTCACATATCTGTTAGTCAAACGCCTTCAAAAATTCTTCAGCACATTGACGAGCCCGAGAATTCACTGCTAAGCGCATTTCGGAAATTTCTTTATCAATCTCATCCATGAAAGTAATTACGAAATCAACCAATTTTGCCTTTGACATCTGTTCCGTGTGAAAATTAGTGATAAGAAAACTGATGTCATAGCCCTATAGAGAAAGGAACATAAAAAGAAAAATGTTAGAATTTTGATTAAGAAAACAGGACAGCAGAAGGTTAGACGAACAAATATCTTTACGAGAAAATCGAATTTTAACTATGTATTACATGTCGTTAATCTGAATGATTGAGATGTGAATGAGTGAAATTTATAGGACGAGAAAGTATTTCTAACAACACCTTGATGTGGTAAGATTTCGAACGATATCAATAATCAAAGAAACTTGACGTCTCCAACTTACACCAAAAAATAATTAAGTCATACAAAAAGCAAATCTACAATAGATTCAAAGTAATACATTGTAGATAACATGTAGATAACATAAAAAAAGGATTATCGACAAGTCCAGCGGAAAAAAATTAGTTTATATTAACAAAAGTTACATCGTAAGCTAAAAATACTAACGAATGGACCATTTATTTCAATTAATCTATGCTCTACGAGATATGCGATGGACATCTTTACATAGGAATTATATTAACACTTCTACAACAAATGCATTTTATGCACCCTAAAATCAAAGGAATCATAAGTTAAATTAACACCAAGCTTTAAAGTACTTTAAAATATATTAACCAAAGGATAGTATGAAAAAATGGGTTTGACTCAGAGAAAAACAATATATCATACAACTTTTTAACAATTTCTCAGGAAGAGCTTTCAAAATAACATTAAGGTTATTAAACTCTTCCATCATTAGTTTTATTTCCTCCAGGGAGTGACACGAACAAAACAGGAGAAATACAACAAACCTGTAAATAACTATAGATCTTTAACTTCGCAGGTATCAATCCTAATGTTAGACTTGTTCGTTTCAAATAATGATCTTTAGCATCGTTGAATATCTATCTTCTGTACGTTATTTACAGCTTTCTGTGAAATTTGGTTTAAGATTTCTGATGTTCTCTAAATTAGGTCCATTATTGCCTTGAATCATCATAAAAATGAGGAAGTAAATTTCTACGGAGGAATTAATTTACTCGAATGAGTTGCAATTACCAGCCCTAGTTTGCAAAAATGAAATTTTAAAAAGTCTTGCAAACAAGCCCAGGAGACAGAACATCCATTACAAATTATAGTTCAATCAGATAGATATTTCAAAGGATCCCTAAGCTAAAAAGTTAATCGATAACTAACAAAACAGTTAAACGAAGTTTCGACAACGTAAGTTTTTTTATATGAATACAAGCAATGAGCTACTGACCGTTCCAAAACTAAGACAAAAAATTAATATTTATAAAATGTCTCGTCTAAATTTGAACGAATATTTCTAACAACTGATAAAATGAATGAAATGTAGTCAAAAACTAGATACCAGACATTGGTAATATTAAAATACAACTATTTAAAACTACCATTTGTGAATTTTACCCTTTCTATTCATAACTGATTAGTTTGTCACGATTTTATATATTTTCTGAGACCTTGCTAATTGTTATAACTCTGTTTCTTCTTACGGTTAATGACCCAGCTATTCCTATGGCTTAGTATTCCCGGACACCGATTCACTCGACAAGTCCCCAAATCAGAACACGGTTGAACAGGAAAAAGATTATATTTCAAATAGCAAGTCAGAAGCCAGTAGGAAGCACAATAGGGGAAAACGTCGGTATATTTATAGTTTTTTACATAAGAAGATTCCAGAATATTCTCCGACTATCGACTAGTGCTGATTGGATAAGAATCAGCCAATCAGCGTGCACCAAAACAATCATGCATTGAGCATGCTTTAATCTAGTCTATGTCCCGCTAACACTAATGAACAGTAGTTAATCAAACTAACATATATATTAATCTGTATTCGATTATGTGTAACATAACACAAATAAGATGGGATTTATGGATAGAAACAACTAAGGATAAATGTAAGAAATGAGGTCGTGAAATATAAAAGGCAACACTACTATCAGAAGAATTAATTAGATAAACAAATGACAAAAAATAATTACAAACTGGTCGAAGCTAAGCAGACCCGTGATATGAAAGTAAGTTGTATAAGACTGGCATTTATTGGTTTATCACGGCTCCTTGGTTGGTAGCCCCAAATGTGTATACAAATCTAAATGTATCTGCCAAAGCAGTTACATTAGTAGAACAGGAGGGAGAGCCTACGTCCGATCCAAAGAATATATTCCGAAAAGTTCAAGATTAAATGGATTAAAAGCATTCAGCAGTGCCATCGCAAGACATCTCCTTGGCACGGGACATGAAATCGATACACTGAAGTCTTTCAAGTTGATTAATATATGTACTACCTAAAACATGAAAATCTGAAGCTGTCCTGACGTATTCAAAATATATTTTAGTCAGTTTATTATTCCATAGTGAAATGATCAATATTGCTTTATAGTTACTTGTATAGAACCTGATCTGTTGATGTACATGAACGTAAATCTGAACTAGCGGTAATTAACTAAACGATATTACATGGTCGAGTGAACGGATATCAATCACACTCTAACAGTAAGCACATACATATATGGAAAAGAAATATATTCTATGATTTCTAATCAAAGGAACATTTGCGCTAGAACCACTAAGCAAAAAATGTTGGAAGAATGTCTCAGTGTAGTTAAGTTAAATAGGGACTCTGGACTGTTCTCACAATACAGGTGTGACTAAAGGTGTACGTACCTTGGCTAGGGTTAAGGAAATAACAATCAGAAGCTAAGAAACTAACAGAAAACCAAGGGAGTAAATATTGTGAACTCTCTTTTCACAATGAGAAATTCTTCTCGGTGATCCAGACAGTTCGAATAGGATTAATAAACTATCGCATGATAGAAAATCAGGGTGGGAATTCCTAGTCAACTATCAGGGCTTTTTCTGAACTGTGTACAAATAACAAACAAATATTAAAAAGGAATCAAATTTGTAGTTTTGCTGCAGCAAAAATAGGAAATGAGGTTCCAAAGTTAACTTTAAACGATCAGAGATATGAACTTACAGGGACAGGTTTACGCCTAAGTATAACAAAGTCTTCTGCACGAGTCATCATAAACCGAGTGAATTTTCGACAAAGTAGCTTTTCGATTTCATCAGACTGTTTGATAGCAATGCTGACACGAACTGAATTAATTGACCCTTCAATCAGTACCCGCTCTTTTTCATTCCGACTAATAATTACGGGGTTTAGTAGTAGTTCCTTGGAGGTTCGAACTTCTATTTCAGGTTTGTTGTGACGTTCAACAACTTGTGAAGAAAAATTCTGAACACATAATGCTGCATTTAGAGTGTGCCTAACTGCGTTTAAATAGGGTTTTAGTGCCTGAAAATAACCAGAAAACTATACAATGTCAGTTACGTTAAAAGCTCTAGTTACAATTAAAATAAACTACTTTCATATTTTGCTAGGTTACAAATCATGCTACAAATAAGTAAACAAGGATTAAGAACGTGTAAGAGTTTAGATGGAGATTTTAAAAAAAACAGAATCACTGAGTTAAACCTAGCATGAGACACATCAATAATAAATTGTCCTAACCTTGGTTAATTCCTTATGTCTTGTTATTAAACACAAGTACCGAACTTTACGCAAGGAACTAAGATTAGATATTTCATTCATTTTAATTGGTTGGACAAGAACTTCTACTTGAAACAGCTAAACAAATAACGTAAGACTAAGAAGAAATGTAAAAATCTGGAAAAAGATACATATAGAAGCAGAGTAAGCATATATGTACTCGACTTATAGCGATACTCTTTTTGCGAGTGAAGTGGGATTTCGAGGGAGTTGGACGTCCTTAGTGAAAGGCTAGGAGTAATGTTTCATTAGGTAAACGGAAGGGTAGAATCAAAATCTAAATAGAATAGCCGGAAGTTGTGCTCTTTGCTCACACACGTTGTACAACCGATTTAGGCTTGGACAATAACTTATAAACGGAAAGAACAAGACATTTGAAAGAAGAGTATAAAACCATCACACACTTCTAGGCTCTTTTAATCTACAACAGCAAGTAGTCTGTTTTACTGGTTTGATCAACCTATGATGAACAAAACTGCTTATTAACATATGTGGTATGTTAGCGAAGTATTATGGGCAGGAATCACCGAATAGTTGTTTCATCATAGTTATGGACTCTTCGAAAATACACAACACTTTCAAGTCTCGGAGCGAGAAAAATACATTTAAAACACGCTTTAAATCCAATGATTTACGTTTCCGTTACGATTAAGGAACTATATCAGACGGGGTTTTTGTGAATATTATAGTAATCTTAATAGTTGGCATTGTGAATCAATTGTAGACCACCAAGGAAAATCCGAAATCACTGGACGGACCTTTCGTCCTCTCCTGGGACTTCTCGGCAGTGCGCATCCACGATCTCGCCTTGCGAGACTCGAGCCCGAGGCCCATGTTTCGCGAGCGAGCGCTTAACCACTAGACCACTGAGCCGGCATCCAACGGTGTTAATGTCTAACTTCAATCTTATATGAACGAGTTCTGGGGTTTTAAAAAATAAGAGTGTGATCCCGATCGATAAATGGTACGGGATGATGCGATGTGGTCAAAAGGGGGATTTAACATTTATTACTAAGGTCAAGTTTCCCAATGGGGACATTACACACAATGTAATGACTGAGATAGAAAATTATTAAGAAATGATATAATTATTTGCTACTTGGACAAGGTTGTAGAAGTAGCCTAGACAACATACCAAATGTCATTACTTTGCGAGACCACTCATGATGCTGGGAAATCTAAGAACTGCAGGACCTATCCTAGAGTAGATCAGGTATGTTTGGTAGGCTGTGGACATGGTGAAGATTTGTAGCTCAGGTGGATGATGAAAGCTCCACGACCAAACCATCCAGCTCAGAGAACAAAACTCTACTAAAAGGCTGTGGACAAAAAGTACGGATAAATTCTAAATGCTTCTCCTGGGAAACAGTAATTAGTGGAGTAACATGAGACTGTTCTAGGTACTTTGCGTTGTATACTTTATTTACATGGACTTCTAAGTATAGTCGAGTCCTCGATGCTACCACACGCTGATACAAAGATCTGACGAGAAATAAAAGGAGACGCAGATGCATGTGCACTTCAGGACTTGGATGCTCTAATTACCTGGTCTAAAAGTGGCTGACGCTTATCAACGCGGCCAAGTGTGCACATGAACATTGGGGATATAAAGGCAAATATGTACAGAGTAGAGAGTCCGTATCGAACATTTACCAAGTTAGATACTTATATGTTCACTACGGTATACATAACATTAGTGAGATCCAAACTTGGAAACTGTGTTCAGGCTACAAGCTCCTGTTTCAAAGGTTGTACGGGTATCTTGGAAAAATTGCACGGGGCAACTAAATATGTAATTCCTGAATTCCCCGGTCCATCATACAAAGAAAGCCTTGAGAAACTAGAACTCTTAACTCTGTACTACTGCAGATGTATAGGATAATAGGTAATGATTTCAGACCTGATATATCTTCTTTTTCCTAGCAGATCAAGACAACTCAGAGGACATACCAAGCGAGTACAAAAGCCAAGAGCGAACTGAAACAAAGGTTTTCGCACCGATTCATCTATTCTTGGAACCTGTTACCCGAAGAAATGGTGTCCGCCCCTTCACCTAACTCACTCAAGAAAACACTAGGCACTTAGGAGCTTACTGGAAACGGACTAACGCACGTCGTACGGTTTTTGTCCTCAAAACACAAACCTGAAAATCAATGATAGAAAAGATTATATACGTCATTATTTAACGATATCCACATACATTCCCTACACCTAATCATTCTTAGTATCCCATATGAAATTTACAACAGTATAAAAACGTTAGACAACATTTTAATAATGAGTTTTGAGTTATGCATCGACCTGACGGTCAAAAATGGAAGCTAATAACACCCAAAAAATCAGCGTAGAATCTTTTGACTTGGACTGGCCAGCTCGTAGACGATACAAAATTCTGTTTTTAAAAGCCTTAAGTATAGAATTTTCAGACCATTCCTAGTAAATTTACAGTATTACGGAACGGTACTTGCCATGAGAAAGCAATGACCTTCAATAGTACATAATCATTCAAACTTCAAATGGTTCAAATGGTTGTGGACGGAATAGAAGAAGCCTTCGCTTAACAGGCTTCGGTGTCTAGTAGCAGGGGATCACGAACACCTCCAGACAGGGACTTAGGTATGTTAAACATAAAAGAGGAAAAAGAAATTGGTAAATCATAGTATGATACTATCCTTAGACCTTAAGAATAGATCAATTTGCCTCTTAAAGGACTCCTGAGAAGTCGCTTGGACTAGCTCGGCGGGCAGCGAGTTCCTGCATTTGACAACTCTTTAGGAGTAGAAGTTGTGTCTACAGTCCATTCTGCTATGTTGTGTCTCCGATTTCTGGGTGTTACCCCTAATGTTGATATAGAGGCTAAGCTTAAGTAGGTGTTTACGAGGATGTTCAGAAGTGTTAAGGGTACTGTAAGCCATCAGAAGGTCACCTCTAAGACGCCTACATTCTAATGACTAAAGGTTAAGTGATTGGAGGCGCTCTTCATAAGGTTTAAACTTGAGTCCTTGGGCTGATTTCGTGGCTCTCCATTGGATACCCTCTAGTGTCCTTATCCTTTTGGAGTGAGGGAGGAAATACTATGTTTCCATACTCTAAATGGGAATGGATAAAACTTTTAAAGATTATATGGAAAGTTCTACCGTCAAACTGGCCAAAAATGCGCTTCAATGTTACCAGTGCAAGATTTGCTCGAAAGGCATTGTAGCGGTAAATAAATCCCCAAAATAAATAGCTCTGTAATTTTTCGACGTTGAATGCTGACCAGATTAGTTTTAGCGGACTCACCTAGCTCAAGGCGCTCGGTCATGCATCCGCACCAGATCATGTGTGGGAACGCCGTGCTCAACATCTACTGCAATAGCTAGTCAGACTAGATCAGACAATTCCGATATATTGGCGATCATCAAATACAACTTCTGATCTCCTCGATTCTGTCTTTTGATTTCTCTTGGTGAGTACGAGTTATGTTAGAGGGTGTTACTGTTAAAAGCGTTGTCAAACACTGAATACCTGTGCCATCTTTATTGGTGAGCCTAACGTGATCTGGTACACCAAATCGTAAACTGTGAGTCTGTTCCATTTTGGGATTCTATATATTATTGCCCTATCTTAATTTTTTATACATTGTGATATCTTTTTTCGTGCTTTTTGGATATACATATTTTTACCTCGTTCAATATCGTACTTCATATTTCATCATGACTGAACAGACACCTAAAGTATTTAAACTTAAGAATTTGTCCCCACCCTCGTTCCAACTCATGCTCTTCTGGCGCGACAATATCGAAGCCCGGTTTTGCTACGCAGAAGCCGACTTCCACGAACACGTCGTGAATGACACACGCGTACAATTCTTCGCAGCAGTGAAGGCACTACCGCGCGAACTCAACAGGTACGTAACACCTAGTATGTTTACTGGTGATGTTTCTGAACCTTACGAAACCTTAAAACGTTCGATTCTTAAACGAGGAGACCTAACCGATTGAAAAACGTTCGATCAACTCTTTAATAACATAGACCTGCAGCACCTTTCTGCGACGGACATGTTGCAAAGGGTGAGAGAGGTTATAGGCCTAAGAACTTTCGACGAAGGCCTATTCAAACAACTTTTCTTGTCTAAACTTCCTCAGCAGGTGCAAGCGGTTCTGGCCTCGTTTCAGAACAAAACCTTAGACGAACTGGTTGCATCTGCCGATCTTATCTTAGAAATTACGAGATCTTCTAATACCGAGGATTTTTTAGTCAAAGAAAAGCCTCAAACGACTCAAAATGACATAACCGAGTTATGTCATACACTTACGCGTTATCTTAATTTCGTAAAGACCGTAAGCGTTCACACACCACACGTAGAAGCACATCACGTAAGCGATATGTCTCTAGACCACGAGAGACAGATAATCGCGACTGGTGCTGGTATCATAACCAGTATGGAAAGTCTTCCAGAAATTGCAGAAAACCCTGCAATTCTCCCAACTCAAAAACGACTGACTCGAAAAACAACTCGGGAAACCTCCAAGCCGACACGCGTTAACGGCAACCGTTGCTGGCGAACATAGCCGTCTGTTATACGTCACAGATGTAACAACGAGTGTTCGCTACCTCGTCGACACTGGCGCAAAAGTTAGCGTTCTCCCAGCGAATCCCAACGACCGGCTTCACGAATCGGCTTTAAACTTACAGACAGCAAATGGAAAACCGATCGCTACGTATGGCAAAAGGTACGTTTACCTTAACGTGGGTTTACGCAAATCCATTCACTGGATCTTCGTTGTTGCAGATTTTTCTATGCCAATCATTGGTATGGACCTTCTATAAAACCATAATCTAATCATCGATACTCGCAAACGGAGGCTAGTAGACGGAACACTAATATATCCGTTTGTGTAACTTCTTTTTCTGGTTGCAGAGTATCTCCAGTCACAATTAAGCATACGATAGACCCATTTTATCAACCACTACTCGATAAATGTCCTGGGATTCACCAAACGCAACCAAAACAACCGTGTGTAACCAGCAACGTTACACATCACATCACGACTACAGGACCACCTGTATTCTCTAAAGCACGACGACTAGCCCTCGAAAAGCTAAGGCTGGCGAAAAACGGGTTCGGTCACATGATAGACTTAGGAATCATACGACCGTCAAATAGCCCATATGCATCTGCGTTGCACATAGTCCCTAAAAAGGACAGCAACGATTGGCGTCCAACTGGTGACTATCGGCGATTGAATGCGAAAACCACTCCCGATCGTTACCCGTTGCCTCACATTCACGATTTAACAGCTACCTTGAAAGGTACAACTGTCTTTTCGAAAATCGACTTAGTTAAAGCCTATAACCAAATCCCCATGGCCACAGACGACATGCCTAAAACCGCCATCATTACTCTCTTCGGACTCTATGAATTTTTGCGAATGCCTTTCGGTCTAAGAAACGCTGCACAAACCTTCCAAAGATTCATAGACGACGTTTTCCGAGGTCTCAACTTCGTACATGAGTATGTTGACGACTGCCTGATAGCAAGTCCGGGCAGAGAATCGCATCTCCAGCATATGGATCTTGTTTTCGACCGACTACAAATCATGGCATTGCTGTAAACGTTCAGAAATGCCAAATTGGAGCTGACTCATTACACTTCCTAGGACACACTATCGATGCTCAAGGTATCCGACCCCTTAGAACCAAAGTGGCGGCCATTCTGGATTACCCAGAACCGACACGGTTAAGCAGTTACGAACGTTTAACGGCCTTGTAAGTTTCTATAGACGATTCATATCTAAATGCGCTTCGTTCATGAAACCGCAAACCGACCAACTTCGTTGAAATGCGAAATCCATTAATTTGGACGACACCGCATGAAACGCATTCTCCACAATTAAGGAACTGATCGCTAAAGCAACAATGCTTGCACATTAGGACACTCAAGCACTCATTAGCATCACAATAGACGCATCCGACTCAGCAATCGAAGGAGTTTTACCACAATGGGTTAACAACTCCTGGAAACCTTTGACATTCTTCTGTAGACGGTTGCTAGACACTGAATCGAGGTACAGCACATTCGGTAGGGAACTTCTAGCTATGTATTGTGCTGTACGGCATTTCCAACACTATACCGAAGGCCGTAAATTCACCGTTTCCACCGACCACAAACTTCTTACTTTCTCCTTAAGCTCCTCTTCAGACAAGTACTCACCCCGTGAGTCTCGACAACTGGACTACATTTCGCAGTTTACTTCAGACATTCAACACATTTCTGGAGCAAACAATGTAGTCGCAGACGCTTTGTCTCGCATAACTTCCTTGAACAGTTTTCAAGGAATCGACCTTCTTAAACTCGCACAGCTTCAAAAAGAAGACACTGATGTTCAGCACGAGTTATCGTCTACAACCCTCAAACTACGCATCAAAGAGATGGGAACAGATAAGGAAACCTTACTGTGTGACACATCTACAGTTGGGGATCGCCCAATCACACCGAAAAGTTATCCACTCAACGTCTTCAATACGTTGCACAAACTTTCTCATCCGGGTGTTCGTGCAACCATCAAGCTTATAGCAGAACAGTTTTGCTGGCCCGGCATGAATAAAGACGTGAGGGAGTGGGCACGCTCCTGTGTAAGCTGCCAAAAATCTAAGGTTATCAGACACAATTAATGTCCCTTAGGCTCATTGAAAACTCCCGATGCTCGTTTCCACCATGTTCATTTGGATTTGGTAGGACCTTTACCAGATTCAAATGGATACTCTTATCTCTTGACCCGCGTAGACCGTTTAACTCGATGGCCAGAAGCAGTGCCTATCAAAGACATTACTGCTGAAACAGTGGCCTGCGCCTTCGTCAATTGATAGACAGCAAACTTCGGATGCCCTTCAACTATCAATACAGACCGCGGACGTCAGTTTGAATCAGGACTTTTCCGTTGTCTGACCACACTTTTAGGAACCACTCGCTTCCGAACGACTGCCTACCACTCACAAGCAAACGGGATGGTAGAACGTTTTCACCGGCAACTAAAAGCTTCACTTTCAGCTGCAAACGTTTCACAGTGGACCGACGCTCTCCCACTCGTCTTACTAGGTATTCGCAATGCAGTGAAAGCTGACATTGGATACTCTGCGGCTCAACTCGTTTATGGAATGACACCTCGACTTTCAGGAGAATTCCTGGATCCTTCGTCCTCTTCAATGAACATGGATCTAACCTCCTACAAGAACAGGCTTACAAACTTAATGCGTTCAGTTAAACCTGTTTCCACTCGGCCGCAATCAACTGATGTTTTCATTCAACCTGACTTACGATATAGTTCACACGTCTTCGCACATCGAGACTCGCATCGACGACCATTCGAATCAGCATACGGAGGACCTTTCAAAGTTCTTCAACGTGAATCTAAGTACTTTATAATCGATAAGAACGGAACAAACGATAGCATCAGCATAGATTGCTTAAAAGCAGCGTATTTAGAAGGAAATCCCATTCACGTCGATTTCCCTTCGGTAC